ATAATAGGGTGATGTTGGTTATATATTATGATGCCAGATTCTATCATTTTCATTGGGCTCAAGAATTATTTATATCTTTATGTTTTTTTTCCTAATTTAAATTCCCTTGTATAAAATAAATTTGAGGTTATTTAAATTTTTTTAGTGAACTTTTAGTACTTTTGGCAAAAATCTTCAAACACTTTAGTGGAGAGTTTGTAATGATTCTCTTAATTATAAGCCATTTTTTAAACATTTAAATAGTTTAGCAACATCAAAATTGTTTAATATTAGACTTATTGATATATTTTTATTGGAGATTCAAATTTTAACTGCAATATGTAATATTTAGATATTATTTGATCTCTCAAATACTATCATGAAATATCCAACTATATTTCAAAGGCTTGCTTTGGGTTTAATTTGACTTGGATCAAAATACTTTTAGTGTTTTCAGCCTCACTTGAAGAAATGTTTATTTTGGTTATAAATTTGCTAAAATTAGAGTTTAAAAGGTCTAGAATTTAGCTCTATTTTTTTAATTCAAGTAATGAGTTGAGACATGTTTTATGAAATAATTTTATATTGGCATGTTACTCCTCATTTTGATTTATAATCAGCATTCACCATGATGTTTGATTTTTAAAGATTTGATAAAAGAATTCAATTAGAGAATGGAACAAAGTGGTGAAATAAATATTCCTACTCAAGCAAGAAAATTATGGGAACATTCAAGTCAATTTGACTCAAGATGCTCTAAGTATTATCTTGTATAATTTAATATTTAAGTTGACTTTGAAGTGGATTTTTTATTCAAATTGATTAAATTCTTAGAATGGAAACTTATCTTTTTATTATTATAAAAATATACCTGTTTAGTTTTATTTTGTTCTTGTACGACTCTTAATCCTTACTCATAAAACTTCAGAAGATTGAGGAGTTGAATAGAGGGAGGGAGAGAGAGAGAGAGAGAGAGAGAGAGAGAGAGAGAGAGAAATAAGGAATAATATACAAAATTATTTAAGGATTAATATGTGTGGTCTTAATCATTATATTTCTTCAGCCTTCCCTCAAACCCATAATTTATACATCAAGAATTGAGGTTTGGAGTTAAAAAAAAACTTATGTGAATCTTGATGAACTTTATTCTTTAATTATAGAAATCACATGACATATTTCATATTAAATTATAGCTTTCCTTCTTAGTAAAAACTATATCTATTTTTTTCATTCAATTATATAGAATTTTGGGCCAGCAATGTTAAGTCCTTACTCCGGGGTGATTGCTTCATTTCTTAGCAAGGATTATGTGTTAGCAGCACAATGATGGGAAAAATAAGCTTTGGATGAGTAGCCCTATCTTCCTTTTGGTTGAGTAGGCCCTTAGTGAGTTGGTTCTACATCAAGGTTTTAAAGTTTTTGTAGCTTTGAACGTGTTGAAAAGCATACACTTTTTGCTTAGTTGGAGAGCAAGGAAGAGCATGCCCTTTTATAATTCTTTGAACTAGGTTAGTTTGAATTGAACTTCAGTCGTTGGATTTCCACAAGCCTACACATAACAAACACAATCAATATAATATGATATTTATCTATCATAACAACTCATAAAAGAAATCTCCAACATACACATAATGATACCAAATCAGATTTAATATAACGGAGTAAAGTGATCAAAATTCACAACACAAGAAATTGATAGTTCGTACAATACAGAAATAAAAAAAACATAAAGTTAGCCCCTATGCCAGGGGAACATCATCAAACATAGAAAAAGTCTAATTTTCATGTCATTATCATCTTGCTCCTCCTCCTCCCCGATCAGACACATGTGTCTCTTGCTCTGGCAATCAATACTCTTGGTTAGACATACAAGGCTATCTGTAACGAGCTACTAACCTTCACGCACCTGTCAGAGCTCTTCATTCATCATCATCACACGCCTGACAAACTCCTCATGTTGAACCTATAATGAGCTAGGGCCACTCACAACTGCAAGAGAATGCTCAGCCTCAAACGCCATCCCCTTTGCCCCGATGTCATAGATTCTCCCCCTTCTTCTTCTCAGTTGTTTGCTTCTACAACTCATAATCATACTGCACAGTGATAGACTGAATACCACTGCTGATGGCAATGAGTCTGGCTAGTCATCTCCCCCTGTCTCTCTCGAAGCTGCTTGTACTCCACATGCATAACATTCAAATATTATTTTGTATTTTAAACATTAATTGACATATTGATAGAATTAAAGTTTTAATACTTAAATTCACACGATGATAGTGGTCAGATAGTCAGTGTTATGTGCCTGCGCGTCGATGTGTAAGGATGTGCAACTCTGTGGTGGATGGCTTTCTGTCAAGCTCCATGGCTTGTATACGTGATCACATATATATATGAGTCACATAATTAAATAAATTGGTAAAGCTTTTGAATTTTAACATAATCTTAACAACCTTTGATGATTCTTTGTGTGGGGGATCGAACCTCTAATGTGGAGTGCGGCCCCTTTGGCTCCTTCCTTCGTCTGATTCTACTGATTTATCTATCTCTTTCTCTAGTACTCCAGAGAGGCCTATGCTCGGTTTAACTCAGCCCATAATTCCTCCCCAGCCCATGACGACTTCTACTCCTTCTTATGCGTCGTCGTGAACATATCTCTGAGCCGTGGAATGAGAGAAAAATAAAAGAGACATTTGTAATGAATACTCTTTTAGTTTTTAATCTTTCTCCCCTTAGTTTGAACCCACCAGCAATGTAAAATCTGTATTTTGTCTCTTGTGAATACTCCCTGGAATATAACATACAGAAGTTGATGCAACAATCTATCTTTTCAAATAGTAACCCCAATTTCGCCACTAACTTTTAAATTATGTACAAATCTTGTAGAACTAAATTACTAGCAGGGTTTGTGTCCTTCTAAGAGCTAAGCAGATAGCTATGTTGTCACATGCACGAACTCTTCAACACCAACAATAAATTCATCGGTTAATCTTTTTATTTATGGGTATAATTTATTATACATCCACGATCTAACACATCTAATAATACACTTGATTTTGCAACCTATAGTAGATCAAATCTCAGCGGATCTTTGAAATTTCCAAGCTACTTATCTTTTTCACAAAGTTTTGATTGTATGTTTCGATTTACAGATTTTGTAGTATCATTAGGTGTTCTTTCAACCCTCAAAATTAGATTTGCAAATATATCTTAAGTATTGTTTGGCCAATAATGACCACTTTGATATTCTTGAGTAGTGAAAATTGAACACTCTCAAATAATCATGTTTATCCTAAATAACTAAGGATATTTTATCATTTCCAGTAACAATCGTGGCTACAAAGTCTACTTTTAGTGACGGTGGGAGAGTTCTTGTTGAATCCAAGAGTTCCTTGTCTACAAAGACAGTTAATGCACTTATATGTGCATCTAGTTCGATCAGAGCTTTCACACCTAGTATGAAAATGCCCTTGGTAATATATTTTATTATTAAATTCTTTTAAATTCTGTTTAGCATATTTTTATATACATTTTATCTAAATAAAAAAGAAGAATAAATTGAAGAGGAATGTCTCACAATAAGTTTACCAAGGTAATTGTATGGACGACTTAATGACATGACCATGAAATATTTTATTTAACTTTGGATGCTTGATCATGACACTTTTTTGAATTTAATTTCTCCTAATTTGAAGTTTGAATAATATACTGATGTGGAACATTTGTTTATCAATGGCTAGGTGGTTTAGGCATTGATGTGAAACTTAATTCGGGATTTATATATACTTTTTTAGTCTTTGGGATTGTGATATTTACCGGTTTGATTATTGTTTGCTGGTTGTAATTGACATGTGATGGCTGTGTTTCTCTTTTGACTTCATTCTATGATGTTTGTTTTGGAATTAATATCATGTGAGACTTAATTCTGGATTTGTTTGTTTTTTTTTTTTTAAGTTATGATGAATTTCAGAGATGCTTGATGATAAGTTATGATGAATTTCAGAGATGAATTTCAGAGATGCTTGATGATTCAAACAAGCTTAAAAATACATTTTCCTATCTTTAGGATACAATCAGGATGATTTAATTCATGTAATTTCTGAGCTCTTTTTCTCTTCTGCTTCTCTTTTGTAGTTGGTTTTTGTGAAACTCGGTAAAAATTTTTTGTTATTGATTTATTTAGTGTTGGATGGTGAAGCTTATGAAGTGTTTTTGCTATTAGAATTTGTAAATATACAAGTTACTTGTAAACAAATTTGTTTATTGTTGGATGGTGGAAGGCTGAATGCTTTTAAAGTATTTATTTTGTTTATTATTGGATGGAAGGAGAAGAAGAATACATTCAATTTTTTTGAGACCCATTATTATATCTTATTTATCAGCTCTGAATCAACAGTACTAGATTGAATAATAATGTTTGTTGCCACACCTTTGAACATTTTATGTGCTGCTTGTAAAGAATATCCCATGTGCACAAACTAATCCCCAATTGCATTTCTGAAAAATAAAGTACATTAGCTATGGTGTTCCTTACTGTCCAAGTGTCCATCAAGCATTCTAGCATCTGATCTTTACTTCTTAATATCATTTCCCTTCTACCACGACCTCATGGTATGCCACCAATCTTTTTACAAAAAATTTTATACATGCAGCTCAATTCATGAGGGAACCCCAGCTGAACATGAACAAAAAAAAAAAAAAAAAAAACAAAGAGAACAAACCTTAGACTAGCCCAAACACGGCTCGTTTACACTCTAGTGATGATCAACAAAATCTAAATACTCTAGATAAATTTCTTACAATCAAATAAAAAAATTTTATTTTCTTACGTTCATATTCCTAATATTTCAAACCAAATATCCCCTCCGTATTTCTTATTTAGGCTATATCCAAGGTTGATCGTTCGTCCCTTCCGACCCACATGCACGTAACTTTTCTTTTTGGGCCTGCCGCAAAATTTTTTTAGTTTAATTCAGATCCATAGCCCTCAAATCCCCACAAAAAAAAATCCACGTCAACGGTCGTTGTAACGGGTGAGCATTTCTTGGTTTAATTTTATGACATCAATGTCCATGAACCATTAAAAAGAAATTAATAGAAGAAATTAAGGCACGTAACATGCGGTATTTCCTCGGAATCCAACCAGCGCAAATCTCCCTCACTCCCACTTTACCTCCTCGCTTGTTGGCTGGCAACGCCGACAACGCCATTTTGTCTTCAACAGTACACTTCCCCCGAACGCTAATTTCCCAGCTGCTCCGCTGTTCTTCCCCTTCCTTTGGCTCAGATGTAGCCTTTGAAAAAGAGTCTACCTGCGAACTACAGAGGTTTGGATTCCGACGTTCGATTCATGTCTTCCTCTTCCTCTAATTTCTAGTTCTTGTCTAATGCCGGAAAAGCTCCCTACTAACTGTCCGACGCTGCCCATGTTAATATGGTAGAATTCCTTCTTTCTTTAAGAAAAATGGATCTTGCCTTGTAAAAAAACAATAAAATCCTTTTTTTTTTCGCTTTCTTCGGTTTTATTCCCCGTAATTTTAGCGCAGATTGAGGAGGATTAAAAATGAAGCAAATCAATCAAGTATAACGGTTATTATGCAAGGTTTTCGCTGTATCTTCGATTATATGTTATTTCTCCTCTGAGAGAAATAGAGCCTAACAATGGCGAGTTGGATGCTTCTGTTCTTCCTTTCCTTTTGCTATTTGGGTTCGTTGGTGTCCGGCGAGACGGACCCAAACGATTTCGCCGTTCTGGACGAGTTTCGAAAGGGGCTAAACAATCCTGAGTTGCTGAAATGGCCTGACTCAGGGGACGACCCCTGCGGCCCTCCGCTTTGGCCGCATGTCGTCTGTTCTGGCTCTCGCGTGACGCAGATCCAAGTCCAGAACTTGGGTCTCAGTGGCCAATTGCCCAAGCGTTTCAACCGGCTTTCTAATCTTATAAATCTCGGGTTTCAAAGGAACAATTTTTCCGGCCCACTTCCAACTTTTAGAGGTCTCTCCAATTTACAGTATGCATACCTCGTCAACAACGAGTTCGATACCATACCCTCTGATTTCTTCGTCGGGCTCACCAGCTTGCTTGAAATCGCCTTGGATCAAAACCCTTTGAATAAAACCTCCGGTTGGGCAATCCCTCCGGACTTGGAGGCCTCCACCCAGTTGAGGAATTTGTCTTTGATCCAATGCAATGTGGCGGGCAAGCTGCCAGATTTTTTGGGCACAATGCCAATGTTGAGTACCTTGAAGCTCTCCTACAATATGCTGTCAAGTGAGATACCGGAGAGCTTCGCAGGCTCTTCTTTGCAGACCATTTGGCTTAATAATCAGGATGGAACTGGGCTTACAGGTCGGCTGGATGTGATTTCATCTATGGCTTCCTTAAACGATGTTTGGCTGCATGGAAATAGTTTTAATGGTCCAATCCCTTCGGGAATTGGAGCTTGCACTTCTTTGACCCGGCTATGGCTTAACAACAACCAGCTTGTTGGTCTTATTCCGGAAAATTTGACAACCTTACCTCGTCTCCAGTCTCTGAAGTTGGATAACAACAATTTGATGGGTCCGATACCAAAGGTGAAGTTTGCAAATTTCACTTATGCTTTCAATTCATTCTGCGAGTCCACTCCTGGAGTTTCTTGCTCTCCGCCGGTCACTGCGCTTCTTGATTTCCTTGGTGGTGTGAACTACCCGTTAAAATTGGCTTCTTCTTGGAGAGGAAATGATCCATGCACCGGTGACTGGTTTGGAGTTTCCTGCTCTAATGGTGAGGCCTCTGTACTAAATTTACCACTTTTACATCTGAGTGGAATAATTAGCCCCTCGCTTGGGGAGTTGGGTTCATTAGTGGATATCAGGCTTGGGGACAATAACTTGACCGGAACTATACCTGAAAATTTTACTGGTTTGACAAAGCTGAGGATGCTAAATGTTTCTGCTAATAATTTAGCCCCCCCAGTTCCCAAATTTAGCCGTAGTGTGACACTCCTTACAGATGGAAACCCATTGTTGAAGAGTTCTCCTCCTGCTGCTTCTCCTACTGGTAGTTCACCTCCTATTGAGCCACCTGCTCCTTCAGGAAATGTTTCTCCTGGCTCTGGGAGTTCCACTTCTCCTTCTCCACCTCGTAATGATTCAAGCAGCCCACCAGCAGCTGATATGAAAAGAAATCAGTCTGGTTCCCATATATCGACAATCTTGATCTTTGTAGTTTTAGCTGCCATTGTGGTCTTGGTGATTTTGTTTGTAGTTATCCTAATTTGGTGCAAGCAGAAGGGCAAAACCAGATTTGTGGCGTCACAATCTGTTGTTATGCATCCAAAGAGTTCACCAGATACAGATAATCATATCAAATTCACTGTGACTAACAGTTCTAATGGCAGCACCTCCATAAGTAATTTGCTTAATGGGAGCGGAAGCTTTATGAGCAGAGCACTCTCAAGTGATGATGGAAACTTCACTATTTCCTTTCAGCTTCTTCGCAGCTCAACCAATAATTTTTCTTCAGAAAATGTGCTTGGGCGGGGAGGTTTTGGGGTTGTTTACAAGGGAGAGTTACTTGATGGAATGATGATAGCAGTGAAAAGAATGGAAGCTGCTACATTAAGCAACAAAGCTCTGGATGAGTTCCAAGCTGAAATTGTTGTTCTTTCTAAAGTCAGACATCGTAATTTGGTTTCTATGATGGGTTACTCGGTGGAAGGCCATGAAAGACTTCTTGTCTATGAATACCTCCCCAATGGTGCTTTAAGCAAGCATCTATTCCATTGGAGGAATTTAAACTTGGAGCCTCTTTCATGGAAGAAGAGACTTAATATTGGATTGGATGTGGCACGAGGAATGGAGTATCTCCATAGCTTGACTCAAGAAAGCTTCATTCACCGAGACCTCAAGTCCTCAAATATTTTACTCGACGATGAATACCGAGCTAAAGTCTCTGATTTCGGATTGGTGAAGTTGGCTCCTAATGGCAATAACTCAGTGGTTACCAGACTGGCTGGTACATTTGGATATTTAGCTCCTGAATATGCTGGTGAGCTCATTTTATTTTCTATTAAGAGGATTAAATCTCATTTCATGACACTTATTTTTGCTGATATTAACTGGGATAAGGTTTCACTTAAATCTAACAATATGCTGTTATTTTGATTGATGAAGTGACCGGAAAAATCACAACAAAAGCTGATGTGTATAGCTTTGGAGTGGTTTTGATGGAACTCATGACAGGAATGGCGGCTCTTGATGAGGACCGTCCGGAAGAAACCCGTTACCTTGCCTCGTGGTTCACAGAAATAAAATCTGATAAAACAAAGCTTTATGATGCCATTGATGCCACACTCGAGAACAAAGAAGAAAATTTTGAGAGCATAGTTACTGTTGCTGAACTGGCAGGCCACTGTGCAGCTAGGGAACCACATAGGCGTCCTGAAATGGGCTATGCTGTGAATGTCTTGGCTTCACTGGCAAACAAATGGAAGCCGGCGGATGATGAGCAGGAGGAATATTTTGGCATTGATCTTCATCAACCTCTTATTCAGTTAGTGAAGGGTTGGCAGGATAGCGAAGCGATGTATTCTTCAGCTGTTGATGATAGCAAAGGAAGCATACCATCGAAGCCTGCAGGGTTTGCTGAATCCTTCACTTCTGCTGATGGCCGGTGAAATGTGCTTGGTATTATATCCGTTCTTATTTATGTCAACAAGTTTTGTTTATATCTGTGCTGCTACATTTTTCTGCAATATATATCTTTGCTTTGTGTTTGTTAGTATTATTTTTTTGAATTTAGATGACAATTTTGTGAGTTTGTGGATAGGAATGTTATGCATGGTGAATGCACTTGATTTCATCTGTTTGTTAGCATGATTGAATACTTAATTTGTTGTATTTTGTTTCTTGTGTTTGAATATGGTGCCAATTAGAAGCTACATTGTGCCAGTCCAGTTTTACTGAAGTGGTTGCAGAGAAGATATTTCGAGGCTTGAAACGGTCACTAAATTGGAATGCATTTGTTATTGCTTGTTTTTTTGTATCTATATTGATGCTTTATTACTTTATCGAGAGCTTATCGAGAGATGGTTTCTGCATCTTGTTGTGTAAATGGGTTTCCTTCTTGATGTTAGTGCAATAGCTTTAGTTTCATAGGACAATTTGTCTGAAAAGAAGTTAAACAAATTGCATAATGTTACTGGAAACTTGTTTAAGATTAGCCACCATTGATTTGTGGGTTTTCTCTAACCCTTCTTAAGTTAATTTCACACTTGAATCCTAGCATTCCAGCATGAATTTTAGAAGTCTTATTGGCCAAAACTGACTGATAGTTATAATAAACGGAGTAGGTAGAGAGGAAGGTTGACTAGCTCTTATCGTACGGGAAGTTATTAGGTGAGTACCTTTTTCCTTGAGTATAACAGTTTTGTTTTATTTTTTATTAATAAAAATACAATTTATAATGCTGATTATATTGAATGAAATATGAATTCTAGCTAAAAAAAGGAGTTATGATTAGTTTTGTTTGCCTAATAATTTTTCTAATTTTAGGACCTTTGCAGGTTGGATGTGACTTTGAAAAACATCGTCTTAGCTTAAAAGTTGTACTTGAAGTCTTTTAGAAGATATTAATATTTTTTTCTAGTATAATTTTGGCATTTTATTCTTTTTATTATTTTTGTACAATATGAGATATTTATTCTGATGAAGTGTTTCTTTTCAACTTTCATCACTAAAATGTCTTTTGTTAGGAGTGAGTTTTTTCTTAACAAAAAATTTAAATTTGGTTTTCTGGGCAGATAACTGAAATCGGACAGTCAATAACGGGCCTATTCTAAGATTGTCTAATTGGCTAGGTCAATTTAGAATTATCACTAAGTCAGTTAATACATTATTCCTAATTTTAACAAATCATAACAACCCATTTTTATGGTTGTGTTTGTTTCAGACGAGGCTTCTATGATGTTAAGTAGCTACGAGAATGAATATTACTTTTAATAAACATCCAAGGAGCATGAGATTATTTACAATACTTCTCGATGCCTTTTTGACAGATTTGGTTAGTAAAATAATATCTAAGCAGTCAAAAGTTGTTAATTGTACTGAATTTTGAGCTTCTTAAATAAGTCTAGACAAGCAAGGAATCTGTCACAGTTGAAAGTCTTTAACCACCTGTCATATATGTTCATGCTTGATCAAATTGTCAAAATATAAATTTGATCCAAAATCTAAAGTGTTATTTCATTAGATATGATGGAGATAAGTATGATTACATATTTAGGTCATCTATGATAAAAGAATTATCTCGAGTAAAAATGTTATTTTCTACATATTAGGTCTTGCAATCCTGCAAAAGATACTTCCATGCTAGAACATGTTGAATTAGAGGAGCTATCTTAAAACAACTGCCTAGCATCAGTAGTGTACGGAAAATTTGGTCTTATGCACTAAATTGAAATTAGTTTATGCAATGCTGATCATTGTTGCTATGTCAAAGGAACTGGAAAATATAATTTTATTTTTCTATTATATATTTATGATATATTAATTGCATGAGTTGACATTTAAATGAATAGTCTTAAAGAGGACAATTAGCTAAGGAGTTTGTCACAAAAGAATTGGGGAAATAAAAAAAAAATACTCAAGATGAGAATGCATTAAAATAAGATTATAGGCGGCTCATTTTTGCATGCAATGGTTTTGAACAACACTAGGCATTGCACAAGCAATGGAGCAATCAATAAAGAAATGTCCAATCCAAAAAACAAACACTTGAAAGCTGTGGTGTATACTGCACGGCCTAAAAAATCCAATCAATCATTCTATAAAGTTTAACAAACAAACCTAAAATAACAGGGCTAGATTGATGCAGATCTATGAGGAGATTTTGGGTTCATTTGGGGCAGCTTTTTCACAACTTTCCTTTCCTAAAAGCTGCCATAAGCTATAACTTTTCTTGCTGCATTTGTAAAATATATGTGGTGTGAAACAACTTACAACAAGAAATGCTAGTTTATGATAGTTACAAGAAAATTGCTGTTCAATTTTTTCAAACCGAAAAAAATCTATGACAGTATAACTTCAAAAAATTTGCGTTTACTACAACACTTCTATATGTACTTCTATTCAAAGCAGTAATTAGCCCAATGAAGCCCTTAGCTAAAAGCTACAATTTACCAGAAGATGATGGATTACATTTAAAAAAAATTGGTAATTGAGGAATAACAAAGTTTATGTTTTTGACTTCCCAATAAAAATTAGAACTCTAGAGGAGCACATTCTAGATCTATTCGCCACTCTCAATAGATATAACATCAGGCTTAGTCCATCAAGGGCTACTAATGACGTGAGCTAAGAGAATCTTTTTGGTTTTTTACTTGCCTTTGAAGAACTGTACTTGGATTATTAAAGTAGAACTAGAGATGCAATCACCAAGAAGCGCTAAAGAACTGCAAAAACTCACCAGATATATTACAGGATTAAGCCACATTTTCTGTAAATTAGCAGAAAATGCTCACTGTTCTTTAAAATCTTGCAATATACTTTTAGGAGTTGGGGCAAAGCCTTTATTATTTATCTAGAATAAAAACTGATTTTTAATCAAGTCAGCATTCAGTACGAAGTAAGAAAATAAAAATCTGTTTAAAGCCAAGGCGGAAATTAAAAATTTTAAATGCTTTAGGATTGAATAGATACCCATATGTTAAAATCAACTCAATGACTTAGGGCATGTTTGAGGCAGCTGCAACTTATTAATAAGTTGTTGATTCGCAACTGTCCCAAAAAGCTGCTGCGGATAAACTGATTGGCTGTTTGTTTATTGTTGTTTGAAAATAGCTGTAGCACGGCTGTTTTTAGAGAAATGACAATTTTTCCCCTATGTAGTAATACTGTTTGCAACAGATCTATCATAGCAATATATTTGATATTTAAGAAGCAAATCCACTTCAGAACAGTTCAAAAAATAAAATATACACCTCGCTTAATAGCAAGTAACATAATTATTATAATAAGAAAAAAAATTATTAAAATAATATTTAATAATATGATAATATCCATTTTTGGAGACTTTCTTATGTCGCTAGCTATGCCGTCCTCTAGGGATAGTCTGTTCCCCTGGTCATTCTCGGCGGTTGATTCTTCAAGTCTATCTGCCTACCAGAAGAAGTCAGTTTTGCATGATTCTCCGTGGGCACCTGTAGAACTCTCTCCCGTAGCTATGTGGCTAATGTGACGTCAGCAAGTAAGTCTAAATTCCGCAGTAGCAGAGTAATCGTTGGGAGGGGTCTCAGAAATCCAAGAGCTCATCTTTCCTGAATGCTTCAAAAGATAATTCATTAGTCATAACACAAGTATAAATTGATAAAAACAAGAATAAATTACAGTTTTGTGCAGGCGTGAGGTCTTAGAGAACTTAGTACATCAACCAACGAATCAGTCACTATAAGAAGACAACATAAATTATAAAACATGGGTTCTTGGTTGTTTTTAACCTACCTAATACCAAACTCGTGTGTGTCACATATGCAGAACACCAAATAATGTCATCCAAAATTACCCCAAAAACCGCTGCATCGAAAAGAAAAAAGATACTTGATTATCTTTATTAGGATTTTGCATGTGACACCAATCATACAATGACTAATAGGCCATGCAGAAGAACTCACAAGGGGAGACGTCTCATCATGGACCTCACAAAGCCACAAAAAAAAAAGAAAAGAAATGGAAAAAGAAAAAAAAAATAATTACAAACAATGTGAAAAATACAAAATCAGAAATATCATGAAGGAACAAAAAGTAATATTAATATTACAAGGAATAGAAAATAAAAACGAGTTGTATAAAACAAACAAGGATCATCTAATTAACATCCAAGAATGACGTCTATAATCTGCTCTCTCAATTCAACTATTTCTGTGACACCTTTGTCATCCTTGATGTAACCTTCCTGTTATTCAACTTCTTGCTGTGTTATAGATTGTCCTATTTGATATTCAAATATTTATGTCGGGACCTGTAAATGATCATCGCAGCCATGCCGAAGTCTAAATTAGTTCGAGCATGATGCCGTCAAATTTAGTTGTGCTGAGTCATTGTAGCTACTACAATCTGCACTTGCTTCAGAAATGGATGCATCGACATATCATGCAGTATGACCCATTTTTTCTTCTACACTCCAAATGTTCTTTCAATTATGCCTCGTAAGGAAGAGTATCTTTTGTTAAACATTTCTTTCAGCCCCAAGCAACACCGCTGAATCTTTCAAAATCAGGAATGTGATATTCATATCCGGAAATAGCTTAAGATACCTCATTTGTAAGAAATATACAACATCGACCAAATAATATTTATCCGTCTCAAATAAAAAAATTAGTAATGAATTTAAAAACAAAAGAATATGATTATTATTTGAACAAATTTGGAGGTGGGTGAGGGAACCTATGGTTTCGATTTCATGTCGCAAAAGCGAAAATATGACTGTCGTATGCACTCTCTTACCAACCAACCATCACAAAAGTAAAACATATCTTGAAGTCACATACGACCATCACATTTTGTGTGTGATTCATACCGTCCAATGTATGCGGCATTTTCATTATTGAATACACGTGCATTAACGCGGGTTCTGTCAATCGCTTCATTACAGTTCTGACAAATTAAATAAAGTTATGATAATCACGCTACTCATTTTGACTTCTGAATATAATTAGTTAAATAGATCTATCTTAAAAAATGATATATACTGCGGGTCATTTATAATCTTTGTTTGAGTTCTCTCAAATGTTGGATTCTTTGGCTTAATAATCTGTGCTGACAAACTAACAAGAGCTTTCAACTCCACTGAGAAATATCCGTTGATTGTCTCCGAT